ATTATTCAATGAAAGAATTTTCCCACCAAAAAAAAAAAAAAAGTCGTTGGAAGTGTTTCTTCAACAAGGTAGGAGGTAAAAGGGGGAGGAAGGGAGGGGTGGGCAGGAGCCGAATAATGAGAGATTGAAGGAGGGATGGATGATTTTTGCCCCTCTTTAAAGATGTCAGTTTCTCTGTTGGTGGAGAATAGCATAGTTGGAGGGGAGGGAAGGAGGGGACGTTTACTCGTCCAAGGTTGTCGGTCGTATATGATATGATAGTCTGAGGCTAAGGCCTTGTCTTTCATATTTTTGCTGTTTTGCGGTTGTACCTGATTGTACGTGGTTGTGGACGCGTGGGGGATGTTCTTAATCTTTGCAGGTGCAGTTGGCGCACAGTGGCTACAGGCATTCAAGTCCTATATTGAAGATCCGATGACGATGCTGTTGTGAGGGGGCAGGTCCTTTTCCGTTGCCAGGCCCAAGGATGTGGGTGGCGTATTCTCACTTTTCTCTCTCTTTACCTCGTGCGAAGCGCAACTGAAATAAATTTTTCGTTATTCAGCGGATAACAATGGATGGTGATCGGCACCTAAGCGTCGGAACATCTAACGCTGCCACCGCGTTGTCCTTCATCTGCCCTTCCCGACCCGTCAGAAGATTTCGACAAGTGCGGCACAGCCCCCCTCTCAGGTGGGAGTGGCCACGGAAGCTGTCAGCCCCCCCTCTTAAGTCCGCACAACTGTGTGTTTGAGTTGTGTGGAGGCAGCAGGCGGTTGCAACTGCCTACCTTATCCTTGGAGAGCAGGAGGGACCACAAAAAATGGTGGAGGCTTCCAATGCCAGCCTTGCCCTTCGACAGCACTGATGCGCTTTTTCCGATTGGAATTCAGGTGAGAGTTCGCGTCCGGATGTCCTGTCTGATTGGTGGGGTGGTGACGGCGTCATCATCCTGTCAAATGAATGGGTGCCTCCGTGTCTCGGTCCTTGTCCTTTTCTTCTTCCTTTCTCTTCTATCGTTTCACCCGGTCCTTGTGCATGGCACGAAAAGCGTCCCGTTGAACCCGGACCGGGTCTCTTGGCTTGTTCTTAGCCGTTGTGAGGATGTTATGAAGCCAGTCAAGGCAGCGACTGTTTTTTTTTTCAGCCTCTGCAGATTGAATCCACAGGTCGGCAAATATGTGTGCATGAAGGCGGACGCTCTGTAAGGAGCGGAGTGGAAAGGACTTCACCAAGGTGTGTATGGAAATAGTGGTGCCGAAAGGGGAACCAAAACTTAGGATTGCTTCGCCTTGACGCATGATTCAGACTGTACGTAGAACGAAGGACGGCACTATGTTAGGAGTGGAAAAGACCTCAGGTAGACAAACTTCGGCGAAGCAAAAGTGAGGTGATTCGCCTTGCCTTTGGAGTCGCAGCCTCTACCATGCTGGCATGCTGGCAAACGTCGCCAGCTATCAGGCCGGCAATGGCTTTAGAGCTGGCAGGTCTTGTGAGGACAGATGCCCGAATAGACGGACAATCTCCACAGCCTGCAGTCTCAGGGGTCAGGCAGCTCTCTGACAGGCTTTAGCTGTCAGAGTTGCAGCATGAGGCAGGGACCATGCGCCAGCTGATCATAGGTTTTGCAGTTGTGGTGGTGGAGTTAAGTTACTGCCAGCTGAGAGGCTGTCTCCTTTTGTCCAGATCCATACCTACTACATACATAGGCTGATTTTATTTTTTTGCCTCTCAGACTGCCGAAAATTGGTGTGGTACGGGGCCCGCTTAGGTGCGGCAGGTATTAGGCCCGTAGATGCTGGAAGGGCTGAGTTGATATTCAAGGCATGCATTGTGTGTAGGTTGGGGAGGGAGAGGGATGGGAGAATGCTGTTTTGCCTGTACTGGATGGCAGCCCCTTCAGGAGGAGATGCGATATGGAGAAAGTTCGTAGGAACGGAAGGGCGGGCAGAGTGTGGCGGAGAGGCGAATCTGAATGTAGATGGGTATGCGGTATGTGGGGGAGAAGCTGAATGTAGAGGAGGAAAAGAGCCGCGTGAGGTTGCTGTGTGACCGTAGTTTGGTTCCACCTAGAGTTAGGGTGTTGGTCTTACCACTGGGTTAATGTAGGTTACGACCAGAGGTAGACTATGATTAGGTTATTGTAGTAGAGTCTTCGTCGGCTTTGTAGTAGTCTTTGGTGGCTTTGTAGTACTCTTCGTCGGCTTTGTAGTAGTCTTTCGTCAGCTGGTTTTGGTCGGACAGACCATGTTTGTTCATGCGTTAGTGTTCGTGTTTATGTCCTTTTCATTCCCCTTGAGTTACTGCATCCTAGGGCAAACTCACCCTAGGATTATTTCGACTGAACCTAGCCCATTATTAAGGCCAGATATGTCCGAGCAATTTGTAGCATGAGATGCCTTGAGACACGTTGTGTTGGCGTTGAACTTACCAAAGAGTGCACGTATTTTCACAACTTTGCTTCAGAGTCGATCGTGTCTCGGGTTTTAACGGAGCCCTCGGAGGAGGAGGATTTGTTGCCCATTATTGCATTTTCAGTGTTTTTCAAACTATTTCTTTTTCTCTGTGCCACTTTCTGTGATCGGTCTTTCGCTGTGAACCCCGGCAGCAGGCGCGAAGGGAAGGAAGGAAGACGGTGAGGTTGAAGGGTGATATTGAAGGTGCAGGGTATATGCTGGTGGATTGCGCCTTGTGGCTCCATTGTGTGTGTGGGATGTCTGTGCTCTGGATATAAACTTTTGGCATCTTGATGGTCACAGCAAAAAAAAAAAAAAAAAAAAAGGCTACTTCACGGGGTTGTGGTTTTACTGCACTTGTCCAGTGTGTCAAATTTGTTTTGCAGAGACGGAGTCTTTCTGGAATTGGCGACGAAGCAAAAAAAGGTTTAAAAATCAAATTAAAATTGTTTATTTACGACGTTTTAAGCGCGGGTGTGCATTGAATGTTTGCACATGTACACATTTCATCTGCCTGTTCCTGTTCGCAAGGCGGGTGGTAGATGTGCGATGGATCGAAGAGTCGCTGAAAACTGCAGCCAAATCTGCTGCCATCGACCAGCGTAGTACTGTATGTGAATTAAGGGGGGGGGGGGGGGGGGGGGGGGGGGGGGGGGGGAGACGGCTTAGGGACAGGGAGAAAATAAGAAGAGAAGGGCAAGAAGGAGAGGGGGAGGTTGAGAAGAGGAGGAGGTGGTAGATGAAAGGAAAATAAGGATGGGGAAGAAAAGAAGAAGTAAAAAAGAAGGAAGAGCATGATATTAGCAGCAGGAGGAGGAGGAGGAGGGAGGATGGTTGAAGCATCAGTGGCGAAACTACCTTCTTCCCCCGAATACAACGTACGGTCATTACAGCTGCATTTGAGGCATCTTTCAGTCTAGGGACAGCTATAATGATCATACGTTGTATTCGGGGGAAGAAGGTAGAGGTAGGAAGGATGTCATTCCAGTGAAGATTGCCGTGATCTTCGACTGGCGAGCAGCAAAGCGTGGGTTTGCGTCTTCTGATGTATTTAGCTGTGTATTCGTATACATACATGTAACTGAAAGACAGTCACATTTTTCAGTTGTCGTTAGCCCAAGTGCTGCTTGTTGTGTTGTACTCTAGCCGATACATGTATACATTCACCCATGTGAAAGGCGGATAATCCACCTTTCACATCTTTGCATTAATGCTGGTATGGCATTTGTCGGAGAGCTTACTTCCATTAATTAGAGCATTGGTTGCAGTACTTGCAGTGACTCTATTCTCTTTTTATGGTCAGATTTTATGCCAAAACTTCCTAAGCACAGTTATTGCATGTGAGACACCCAGAGGAAAGGAAATGGACAACGCCAGAGTGTGCGGGAGTAAGCATATCCTTGCGTAAAGGGGAGAGTTTCAGAAAAAGGAGCTTAACTTTGGAGTTTTTGTTCACCACAGATGCTACACCAGGGGTAGTTCAACACTGCCGGACAGNAGACACCCAGAGGAAAGGAAATGGACAACGCCAGAGTGTGCGGGAGTAAGCATATCCTTGCGTAAAGGGGAGAGTTTCAGAAAAAGGAGCTTAACCTTCGAGTTTTTGTGCACAACACATGCTACACCCGGGGTAGTAAAACATTGCCGGACAGGGTGACCAGAAAATCCCCTGATCGCAGAGGAGAGTCGGTTCCCAGAGTTCCACCCCCCCCCCCCCCCCCCAACCAGCAAAAAAAAAAAAAGAAAAAAAAAAAAAAGTGGGAAATGGTTCCTGATGTCAGGTGGCATCAATCTGACAATCACTGCTCGAAGAATGTAATTCGCCGGTCGATGTCTCTCTCGCTTTCTGAGAAGGTCTCCTGCGACAAACACTGCTCGAAGAATGTAATTCGCCGGTCGATGTCTCTCTCGCTCTCTCCCCCTCTCGCTCTCTGACGAAGGTCTCCTGCATGGCGTCAAGATGAATGTTGATAGAGTCCTAAGTCAATGGAGGACATACGCCGGTGAGAGTTATGCCGTCCGACAGAAGCGTCAGAGCCCCCAAGGTGTGTGTGTGTGTGTGCGTGTGTGTGTAGGTGTGTGTGTGTGTGTGTGTGTGTAGGTGTGTGTGTGTGTGTGTGTGTGTGTGTGTGTGTGTGTGTGTGTGTTGATGTTGTATTGGGGGTTGATGTTGTATTGGGCGTTGGTGCAGAAGGCGTCTGTGAATGTTGTGAGTGTTAGTAGATGTGTGAGGTGATTGGTCGTGAATGGAGTTCCCGCCCGCTCCAATTTGTCACTCGTGCTGAATGTGTGTCTTGTTTGTTGTTGTATCGGGCGACAGCACGAAAGTCCTCTGCGAACTTTGCGAGTGTTATTAGAGGTGTGAGGTGACTCTTCTTGAAGTACGATACAGTTTCAATGGTTACCCTTCGCAAAGAATGCATCTTTTTTTTTTTTTTTTTTTTTTTTTTTTTTTTGGTGTGATTGGCAAGCTTTGAAATGACAGTTCTCAGTTTGAGGGGACAAAGGATCATAGCCAGACACCCTAGGATGGCCTCGTGAAATCTGCCTCTCTTTGAAATGACTGATGTACCCAACTGCATGCATATTTATGGTTGACCTAAGATGGCCTGCTAAAGATGACTATCGAAAAACTTTCCGTCGTTCCCCAGAAGGCACCCTGATCATGAATGTATAATAGCTATATTTAGGGTCCCATTCAGTCATTACGAGCCTGCACCGTGTTCGCATGTGGGAAAAAGATGGCACTCTAGTGCGCCTTGTTTCCGTCGGATCAACAATGATGAGATTGATCCTAAAGAGTCAAAACAAACAAAAAAGACAGGCGACCCTGCTGTCGCCTTCCTGCCCGTTAGATCAACAATGATAAGATTGAACCTACGGGTCAAAAAGAGATGCGGTGACGAAATAAATAAAATAAAATCAAATCAGATGGCTGCTGCGCAGGAGGGAGGTTAACGACTGCCGGCCGCTTGCGGAGATCACAACGTGGTCGGGTGGTACCAAAGGTGCGCGACTTCCTTCTCATCTGGCTCTTGTGATCCCTCATACGCTGATCTGGAAATTCGTTCAGCGTGTACAGTTTAGTAGCATATCTCTGACATATGAGTAGATATTAACTTATTAAGGGTTTTGCATGTGGAGGCTGAANGAAATTCGTTCAGCGTGTACAGTTTAGTAGCATATCTCTGACATATGAGTAGATATTAACTTATTAAGGGTTTTGCATGTGGAGGCTGAATGTTTATCGCCGCAAGTAGCGAGCAGTCCTGTGTCGAAGATGAAGCGTCCTCGCGACTCCTGCAGCAAAACGACAGGAAGAAACAAATGCACAACCAAGGCAGATGCTCATGAGGACATGAAAGAATTCATTTGGTCCACTATCCGTCCAGATACGTGTCGAATGTAGTGTGGTAGAAGGGGGCACACATGGAATGGCATCATTGGCATGGTAGCAGCATGAAGAGACGTCCAGATTTACATTGAATACAGGGCCTCACCCCAATACACAAGATTCTACATGTATCTGGATAGGTAGTGGACCATATGCATTGGGACTGATTCAACATTTTTTGAACAGTCTTGGACCAGCAAACCGTCCAAACATATTCTGCATGACATTCCACATGTATCTGGACTGTACGAGGTGCTAGTAATGGCCCTGATACATTCCAAATAATGGATCCATCCAATTGTATTTGGCTAGGCATACAGTACAGATACACGTAGAATGTTGTGCACTGTGCAGTGTATCGGAGCCCAAATACATATCAGGAGATGAATGACGTCACAAGAAGAACCCAACAATGGAACAGCATCAGGACACACACCCGAAACCGTAGGTCTTCTTCGTCTTCTTCTTCTTCTTCTTCTTCTTCTTTTGTAACACACTCTCACTAAGGCCTCGTCTATTGTGGGGACCACAGTCCCGGTTGTGTGGTCCCAGTTGCATATCACCAGCAAGCATCATGTACCAGCATGGCAACAGAAATGACCGTGAAACAGTGCGACTCTGTCTGGACCTCTGCCCGGCGCCGGGACACTCAAAATAGTGAGTAATTGCGCTTTCCATAAAGAACGAAAGGCAAAAAAAAAGCATTAAACAAGCTACAATTCCATACCCCGCACTCTGTTCTCCTCGCCAATAGCCCCGATCTACGTCCGCTCAGCACTTTCTGGTATAGAATAGCCAACGCAATTTCGTAGGATAATATCTTGAGGTCGTTATCCTTATCAGAAGAAGAAGAACAAGAGGGGAAAAAAAAAGTATTAAACAAGCTTCGATCCCAAAGCACTTTTTCACGTGTTCCATCTGCAGTGCACCCCCCCTGGTCTCATGATTAATAGTTCCGACTCGCTGCCGTCCATGAACACTAAACCCTAACTATGTGACCATAGTTGCTGTCAACTGTATATCCGCCTCTCCGGCGATAGTCGCTGCAAAGGTCTAATCGCGTTACAACAATTATTTATTTATTAATTAATTAATTAAATTGTTTATTTATTTATTATTATTATTTTTTTAACGAATCGCATTACAACGAACGTTTTATTTTTTTGAAGTTTTTAGTAGTTTTACAAGTTTTTTTTTTTTTTTTTCCCCTTTGCTTTTGTTATTTTGTTTGTTGTTGATGTGAAGGGCAATGGCCTTGAGGTATCATCATCGAACTCCATGGTGTCCATCAGCGATGGACGAATCGTTGCATAGGGGTCCCTCTCATACCAGCAAGCAACGGCCATTCGTAGGATAAAGGGGTTTCGCCGCACAGCCCACTAGAAAATCCTCCTCTTCGCCGCAGAGGAAAAACTGGCCCTGCCAAGAGGAACTGCCCTGCTCTTCCCTGGCCCAAGTTCAGGACAGGCCCCCAGAGCAGTCAAACCCGCTCGCTCGGAGGGATAGCTCGGTGGGGGATGGGAGCTCCCCTGTCCCCTCCGTTCCACCCTCGCATAGTGGGACAGCCTGGCGATTGCTTAACGCCACTCTCCGCTTGAAACTGTGCCCCTTGCCTCTATTCCCGCCAGGACAGAACTGCACCCAAAAATTGGCACCAGCCCCAGATCGAGCCAAACCTAATATCCGCCCCTACCCTCTCAAGAGTCTACTACACCACCCACCTCCGGGGAATGGGAGCTCCCCCGTCCCCTCCGCTCCACCCTCTCCCTCTGGAGGGCTTCCCTCCGCTAGGTCAACAGACTGAACCACCCTCCCAGAAGATGCTACCAAAAGAGCCGCACACCGCAAGCATTCACCAAACAACGCACAATTCTAGAAAGTTCAGGGAAACCTGTCTAGGGAGGTACTTCAGTAACTGTCAGAATCTTTCTCTCTCTCTCTCTCTCTCTCTCTCTCTCTCTCTCTCTTGCTCGTGCGCGCGCTCGAGCGCGCACACACACACGCACACGCACACATGCAGGCACACGTGTACACACATACATCTCTCTCTCTCTCTCTCTCTCTCTCTCTCTCTCTCTCTCTCTCTCTCTCTCTCTCTCTCTCTCACACACACACACACACACACACACACACACACACAGATGCATACACACGTGAATAGGCCTCTCTTTTAGTGTGTGTGTGTGTGCCGCAAGCGCACATAACACCACTCATATTTGAAAGGAGAGGCAGATAACCCCACATAGCCACTTCTGCATACAGGGGAAGAAGAGGAGAACCTTATGCCACTTACTTGCCGCAATGCCAGGATGTCCCAGTCCAATAGGATTGCATCGAAGGTCCGAGAAAGCTTGGGAGGTGGTAACGGGAGGCCACCACTTCTCATTATGCATCACCTTCATAGTTAAGCTGCATTGAGGAGGGAGGATGTCATCACACAGAAAAAACAAGACAAACGGGTGAAAAGGAGGAAGAACGTTAACAGAGGCGGGAGAAAAGGACACAAAACAAGAAAGTAAACCTGGCCAGGTAGGTGGGGGTGTGAGGTGGTGGTGGTGGTGGTGGTAGGTGGGTGGGTGGGTGGTGGGGTTGTACCATTCTCATGGACGGAGCCTCCTGATGGCTTGCATGTGCATCACTTTTATCTTTTTAACCATCAGTAACTCTGAACTTCTGTGGGAGGTTTCCCACTTGCAGTGTGGGTGGTGAAATTTCAAGTTATTCACATATGCGTACACACACCACACGCCACTTTTTACGCGTTCTTATGCGGAAAGTGATTCACCGCCTGGCAGCGTTAGGTTTTTGGGACAAATGTGGAAAACAAGGGAAAAATTTACAAAAGCATTAGCAAAAAAAAATTAAAAAACATAGGAATGCACTGCTGCTGCAGTGCGGGCACGATGATTCAAAACGGAAAATGTCTGATGCTAGTGAGGATGGTGTGGACGCAAACTTCAAGCTTGGAAGTGTGGCTCTGACATCTCTGGTGCTTCTTTTTCAGCTTAAGGCACACTGACACTTGTCTTGTTGTATAGCCACAAATGTGGTCAGATTCACACACCCAAGCGAATGTACTTGAATGTGTGGCACAAACACGTTTGAAAGGGCAACAAAACCACATGCAGGTAACAAACTCGTGCGCCGAGTTCAAAACTTCAAAAGAGCAACAAAAGAACTTCTACCCGTGCGCCGAGTTTGAAAAGCGCAACAAAATGACACGCGGGCCACATCCATTTTTACCGATATCGCACTTTTCGAAATCGGCAGCCGGTGTTGTTGCCCGCACATGTTTTTTTTAATTTTTTTCGCCCTTTCGAAACTGAAAGTGTGACACTGCCGCACTTGTTGCAAATTTCCAAATATATGTCACAGCCCCTCGTTTGTTGTCCTCTTCTCTCTCTCTGCCTACGGTTTACCGGGCAGTTCTGTTTGTGACGATATATATATATATTCACAGCCCCTCGTTTGTTGTCCTCTTCTCCCTCTCTGCCTACGGTTTACCGGGCACTTCTATTTTACGATATATATATATGCCGTCCATTCTTCTATATATACATATACATATATAGAAGGACGGACGGCAAAAGGCAGCATACACAAAACCCAAGGAATTAGTTGTACCACAACACAGTAGGCTCCACCAACAAGAAAGCACTGACTTCATCCGCCATTGGGGTCTGAAAAAACTTGGAGAGCCCTCCGAGTCAGTCCACAAAACCACAAAATTTTAATTGCACAAGTACAACGACACTGTGACACTGCTATTCACGAGGAACTCGGCAAAATGACTCCATAACTTCGGGAGGAGGAGTGCTTTTCTTTGCAAAAACAGACAAAAGTGGCACATAACAGGGGGTATCGACTGTTTATTAAAAACACAGGACTCTGCCAACTGGTGACACGATGTATAGAGTCTGATACCTGCCCGGTGCTGGAAGGTGAAAAGGGGAAGTGACTCACATTACCATCATCTCTACCACTCTATGGCTGAACGACCTCCCTAGCTCCTGGAGTGTATGGAGGGCTATAATCCGAAACTCCACAAGATCTGCATATGACACGAGAAGCGCCCATTTCTTCAATGTGCTCTGAAAGAGCAGTCTGTGGGAATGACACCCACTGCAAACGCTCCCTGGGCTTCCTCCTCACAAGGATACCGTGGCCAAAACTCCTAGCGTATTCCCACCCCAAAACAAAACTCATGGCCACCCACAGACATCCCATCATCAAAGAGACAGCCCATGCTCCAAGGCTGTGTGTGTGTGTGTGTCTCTGTGTGTGTGTGTGTGTGTGTGTGTGTGTGTGTGTGTGTGTCCTTCATTTATCGGGTGTTTCCTCCATATTAGGTGCTATCAATTTCATTACGACTATTTTTAACATGCGTGGCCCAGGCATGACCATGCATAGATTACCTCTATTTGTTTGGTCTGTGTTAATTACGGCTTTTCTGCTTTTATTGTCACTTCCAGTATTAGCAGGTGCTATTACTATGCTATTAACTGATATAAATTTTTATACCACTTTTGTTGATCCTCCTGGTCCTGTTTTATTTCAACATCTGTTTTGGTTCTTTGGTTGTGTGTGTGTGTGTGTGTGAGAGAGAGACAGAGTTGCGGGCATGTTTGTGTGTGTGCGTGCATGCGTTTGCGTATGTGAATTTGGGACCCAGATTGCCGCGATGGGTAATCTGGGGTAGGGAAGATGATCGCGGTAAGAATATATGCAGGCCCAGGCGTCATCGGCCAGGTTCAGATTGCAAATTTGCGCACTGGCCTGACGAGGGCATATCACAAAGAATTTAGGCCAAAAGGGCATACATTATTAATTTTAGGAGCATTTTGTCATATACTTCATCTTCGGGGGGTACATTGCAAATTTTCCCAAATTATGGCATTACATTTCTGATTCTGAAATTAGTTTTTTCTTGATTTTTTTTTTTAACTACACGAAATTCTTGTATCGAATTCTTTTGCACCTTTCACTACCTACCTAGCACTACTCCTAGGGCTGTATAGAGGGGACCCCTGCAAGCGTAGGCCTCACAAACTTGGAGGGAGTCGTACTGCAGTGTCCAAGGCCAACACTCTTCCACACACCACACACAACCCACTCACACTTGCACTCACACCTGTGTTGGCCAAAGACCCTTTTAAACCGCCAGTACCTTTCCCAGCCAAAAAGAAATTGCCCACCGGTTAACACTGAGGCCGGGGCTGGTCTCGCGCCCCCGGCCAGATGCATCTCAAATCCTTGGCCCGCACGACCCGCGACCAATATATGGGAAAGGTACTGGCGGTGTAATACCATACTTGCGGCGCATTTGTGTGCTGCGCATGCGCGCTGCGCCATGCGCACACGGCTGGTGCGTGCGCACCGCGCGCATGGCGCATAGGTGCGCTATATGCGCATGCGCATAGCGCTACTCATGCGCCATGCGCTGATGCGCGTGGACCTGCGGGCCATGCACTAGGGTGGTGCGCCAGATGCGCTGCCTCTCTTTTTTTTTGGGGTGCTTCCACCACCCGTTTGAACTTCGACTCATTGGAAAGGTTCCCTCCCTCCCTCCCTCTCTCTCTCTCTCTCTCTCTCTCTCTCTCAATTTAAACATTCTTAGAAATTTCAACAAACAAAAATGGCGGTCAGCCCTCCCGCCTTGTCATCTCTCTCTCTCTCTTCATGCCGTCAATGAGCTGCTTCGGCAGAGCGGCCGCTGCTGTCACCTGCATCACCGAGAGGCCACAACAGAAAATGGTGGTCAGCCCCTCGAAGGAAAAGCCTCTCCCCTCATCCAGATCCACCACTCTCTCCTCTAATCCCCCTCGGCTGTGCAACACTCCAGCGGGCAACCACGAGCAAATCGAATTGCGGAAACAACATTCTGAAAGGAGTAGGGGAAAAAAAACTGCAAATGCCAAATTAAGATTGTAACGGATGGCAACTAGAAGAAGGAGAGATGGATGGAGAGAGAGGGAGGAAGGAGGAGGGAGAAAGGAGGAGGGAGAGATGGACGAAGAAGAAGGGACGAAGGAGGAGGGAGAAAGAAAGGGAGGAGTAAAGAGGGAGTAGCGAGTCGACATGTGGAGGGAGAAAGAGAGGACGAAAGAGGCGGGAGAAGTGAGGTGCGGCGTGGAGGAGGGAGAAAGGGAGGAAGGAGGCAGAAAGGAGGGAGGAAGGAGAGAGGTAGAGATAGATGACGAAAGAGGGGAGAGGAGGAGGAGGGAGGGAGGAGGAGGAGGAGGGAGAGATGGACGAGGAAGAAGGGAGAGAGGAGGGAGAAAAGGAGGAAGCGGGAGGGAGAAAAGGAGGAAAGAGGGGCCAGCGAGTCGAGTCAGTTGACGCGTGCACGATGGGATGGAGGTGTCGCACGGAGTGAAAGGCCCGTAACAAGGGCAACAAAAAAAAAAAGGTGATTGGATGGTGAAGTGTTCGAAGGACAGATGGATGGAGAGAGAGGAAGGAAGGAGGAGGGACAGATGGATGAAGAAGAAGGGAGAACGGAGGAGGGAGAAAGGGAGGAGATGGACGAAGAAGGGAGGAAGGAGGAGGGAGAAAGGGAGGAGGAAAAAGGAGGGAGAAGCGAGGTGCTGCGTGGAGGACGGCGAAAGTGAGGAAGGAGAGAGGTACAGATAGAGGATGAAAGAGGGGAGAGGAGGAGGAGGGAGGGAGGAGGAGGGAGAGATGGATGAGGAAGAAGGGAGAGAGGAGGAGGGAGAAAGGGAGGAAGGAGGAGGGAGAAAGGAAGGAGGAAAGAGGGGGCAGCGAGTCGAGTCAGTCGACGCGTGGAGGATGGGAGGAGTGGAGGTGCCGTGCGGAGTGAAAGGCCCTGTCGCTAACGTAACAAGGGCAAAAAAAAAAAAAAAAAGGTAATTGGATGGTGAAGCTGTCTCTTATACACATCTAGATGTGTATAAGAGACAGCTCTGCGGGGGCATGTGTGCACTTGCTCCTATGCCTTTGTATAGGTATGGAATTTTGTGGTTCTGGTGGACGTTTCATCGGCTGCGTCATTTTGGTATGTTGGTGGTGAAAAATGTGCTTGTGGTGGTGCTCTCATCTGCTTTGTCATTTGTATGTGGGTGCATGTGGCAGCGGAGAAGCGAGTTGTTCCGAAAGGTGATGGAGAGTTTGCACCGGGGACCTTCATGACGGTCACGTTAAGTTGTGACCACCGCGTCGTGGATGGTGAGTTGCAGCTCGTCTCTCCGAACGATTAGGGACTGAGATCATCAAGATCTGATAGTCAGTAGCTGCTGTTGGTTCTCTAAACTGAGTGCTTTGGGACCATAGCAAATCTCTGCCTGACTTGTCTCGACAGGCACACTGTTTGCAGTGGACAGATATGTACCCACAAGACGTTACCTGCATTCCGAAAGACGATACCTGCATTTTTTTTTTTTTTTTCCTGAACCCCCGGTTGGATGCCAGCTGTGCTGATAAGAGCAGGCATCCCTAGCATTCCGGGGGGAGGCTCCATCTATTGGTGGGGAGCAGCACCTGCCGGAAACCGGGTCCAGCGTCCGTGAACATTGTCATCATTCTTGGTATACAGAGATAGAGATGCCCTCCTGCAGATCTGCTATCGTAACATAACTCGGAGCTGTACTTAGTACTTACACTCCTGCTGGACTACCTATTGAAGATCCTTGAACATCTTAACTCACTGCCATCCTGTCAGCATTGATTACCCTGAAACCAGGGGATTGACTGTGCAGGTAAAGCCTACACCGCTCTGTACCACTGTATGTCCACGATGGAGGGGCCGTGGGGTGGAAAGGGATCGGGGAAATCAGAAGGAGGGCGCAGAGGAACCGCCCTGCATTCTGCATGTGGAGATACTACCATTTTCCCACGAATAGAAGGTATGGTCAATATCGCTGTATTTAGACTGTGTGTTGCCCCAAATACAGTGATAATGACCGTACGTTCTATTCGAGTAGGGTTCTCTTTGGTCTTTCGTTTGGATAACTCGTTCACTCATGTTGCACGTTCGGAGTGTTGGGAGGCCGGGCGAACTGTNGAGAGAGAGAGAGAGAGAGAGAGAGCTGGTGGCAACCCACCTCAAGCAGCTCGGTGATTCCTCCTCGCTCCCGCTGCCTGCTCCAGCTGCCTCCTCCTGTGTGCTGCTGCCTGCTGCTGCCTCCTGGTGCCTCCTGGTGCCTCCTGCTGCCTCCTGTTTCTTGCTCGGGCTGGTGCTGCTGGTGACGGGCGGGCACGACCAACGACGAATGACGACACGACGGCCGCCAAGGAGACAAGGCACAACTGGTGGGTCGGTGAAGTGCCGGGGCGCCCAACGGCGGCGTGGGGGAGGCCTGAGTAGTACAAAAACGAACTACTCAGATCTCCGCCAAAAACTTTTACCGGGCCTCCTCGCGGCCCGAAAAAAAAGTTTCGCGCCCATGGAGGCAATTTCCCCTGGTACCCCTCCGGCCCTCCCAACCCCCCCCGAACTCTTTTTTTTTTTTTCCACGACCCCTGTTTTGGCCGATGTGCCGCATGCCGTGTGCGCGCCGGCTGCGATCTGCGCTCTGCGCCGCACGTGCTGCGATGCCGCGCACGGCATGCGCCGCAAGTATGTTTAATACCGATCAAAGCTATCTGTCCGCGGACTATCACAGTTGGTTGGCACTAAGTGTGCTGCAGGCATCATTTTTTTTTTTTAATTTGATTATCATTACTCTCCTCACTCAATAGTGTGCAGTGTGGACTTACTCGATAGTGTGCTTGCCCCTGTTTGGATTGGAATATAATCCTATGGTGTTCAACTTGTCAGGGTGTGGCCGATTGCGAATCGCGTTTGGCGAGTATTTCATCAACTTCTTGATGGTACCATCGCCAATTTTATGTATCCGCTCCTGCTCATAATCTTTCAGCCTGAGAGATCATAACTCATATCCACACATCACATCACATCAAATCCAACAAGCAAAAGAATCACATCACATCACTTCTCTTTTTTCTTTTTTTTTTCCGCATCATATCCATCCATTAAGCTTCATTGTTGTAGGAACACTGGGCTGGTTTCCCAGGGTTTAATTAATTTGGCATTAAAAAAAAGAAAAAAAAAAAGCTTTAAGACATGATGGCGAGTCGAGGGAAGAAAAGGAAGATGGGACAAATTTTTACTAACAGTGAACATGGTCGCTTAGGTAACAAGATAAAAAAAAAAAGGAAAAAAAAAGGGCACAGAATAAGCTTAGTAGTAGAAATACTGGTGGCATAGCTTACGGGAGCCTATAGCTCTAGGTAGAACCTAGCAAAGGATCTCACAGTTGAAGCCCCTTGGCCTTGCAAAGAACAGCCACCACCTGAGTTTTAAAATTACAGTTGGCAAAAAAAAAAAAAAAAAAAAAAAAAAAGACAATCCTGCAGAAGCTCCCTCTCCCCATCTTGCTTTATCCAACTTGTGTCTCGACGAACTGAGGGCCTAAGCTGAGAAATTTTCAGCAACACAAGAAAATTTTACCGTGGCTTTCTCAACTTAGGCATCTGACCGACTGACCACCAGTTCACACGAGCCGAAGTTAACAAAAAGCGATCACCTTCCAAGGCTCGTGAACCTGCAACTGAGCCCCGCAGCCAAATGCTGCTTACAGGATAGGATTGAAAAAAAATGGAGAACAAAGAAAAAGACAGATGAAACATAGGGCCTCGCAAACGAAGTAAATCATTTCGCCCCCTGCCCTGACAGCGGTAGTCAGAGATGGGGTGGGGCCGCCGGTGGGGGTCCTTTTTACAGTGGCCTGCCACTCTCACTACTCGGGAAGATATCCGAATCGAAAAGCACTTACCGCGTATGGTGATAAGAGAAGTACTCTGCTAAGGGTGAACTGGCGGTTAAAACCGCCGCCAGTACCTTTCTCATACATCGGCCCAGGGGCGCTGTGCGCCAAGGGGCGGCTGATGTACCTGGGGCGCCGGAGGGCGAATAGGGCCTCCACCACTCCCTCCACCATCAGGAAATAGCCCTCCCGGTGCGCTCGGGTGGGGTTTTGAGGGAGGGCGGCGACCAGAGGCCGAAACGGCGGGCCTAGTCCCTCAATTTGAACGCGGCAACTTTGGCGATTTTTCGCGCTCAGAAGAATTCACAGAAAATTCTGAAAATTTGAGCATTGGTAGATTAGCTCGTGTTCTTCCCAGGAAAAATAGCAGAAAAGTTTTCAAAACAAAATCATTTTGACCGTGAAACAATCGCTGCGCCGATTCGGTGTATGTTCCAGTTTTGCCACTGTGCCATTTGTGGGCCAAGGGGAAAAGTACTCCAACTTCTGCGATATTTTCCGCTCCAAAGAATGCGTCAAAGAGTCTGAAAACTTGAGGATCCGTAGATTTGGTTGTGATCTTTCCAGGAATTTTTTTTTTTTTTAAATTAAAAAATTGCTTACCACAAAATAAATCGCAGAGGCATTTCAACACATTTTCAATTTTTGTGTTTCTTTCTTTCCGTTCTCCACACTGTACTACCGGTAGCCCTAATGCACCTGCGCTACCGGTCCGCCACTACCTTCCACAGTGCTGGGAAAAGTGGGAATAGTAGAACGTATAGTGTATTCTCCGGGGGCCGGGCCCGATGGCGCCCACTGATGATAAATTTCATCGGCGGCCTTTGTTGCGTTAGCGGCCTCCGAAACCCGTGGGGCCTTGCCCGCGGCCGATGTGCGGGAAAGGTAGTGGTGGTTTAAAAATGAGAAAAACAAAACAAATAAACAAATGAATGAATGAATTGCATGTGGCCTAAGGTTGCAGCTCAGTTCATTCTAAGCTAGCACACAATGGCTGTGGTGTAGTGACTGCAGTCTGACCAAGAAGTTTAGGTCAGCAGCACACACTACCAGCTGAGCATGCTGACCAGGTGAGAGGGCCAAGCGCCGCTGGTGCACCATGTTTGTACTAAGAATGCATGAACCTGGCCATTTTTCAAGAGCATGATCATGCTTTCAAGGTGAGAGGGCCAGGCTCCACTGGTGCTATATTTTTACTGAGACTGATGCATGAACCTGGTCATTTTGAAGACCAGGATCGTGCTTGCATAGTGGAATGACCAAGTCCCACTGGTGCAATGTTCATACTAAGCACCCATGAACCTGGACATTTCCAAGACCAGGACATGGCTTTCAGAGTGAGAGGGCCAAATGCCAGTGGTCCTATGTTCATGACATCGTTCTCACTGTAAACTACATCACAATCCATAGTTAGTACAGACTACAGGCTTGCGAACCTTTCACGGCCTTATTCTTCTCGTATCTGACATGATGCACATCAAACTGTGTAATTGTATTTTAAATGTACTTTACAGGGACGCTGGACCCGATTTCCAGCAGGTGTTGCTCCCCACCAATAGACGGAGCCTCCCCGGCTCTACTAGTGGTGTCTGATCATATCAGCACCCCTCGTAGCCGCTCGTGCTGTTTCTTAAAAAAAAAAAAAAAAAAGCATGAACATTAGGCAATCAATCCAGGCTACTGGGCAGTTGTGTAGCCCCAGCATATTTACCATTCTGAATTTCTGAGGGTGGGTTACGCACCCAGCAGTTGCTACTGTCAGTTGTCTGTACAAACAAGCAAGCATGATGTTCTGGGACGCTGAACCCGGTTTCCAGCAGGAGCTGCTCCCCACCAATAGATGGAGCCTCCCCGAGATGTGTTAGCGGTGGCTGCTCTTATCAGCACTCCTAACACCGTCTCAGGCTGTTCTTAAAAAAAAAAAAAAAGAGGAAAAGAATGCATGAACATGGCCATTTTCAAGACTAGGATCATGCTTTGAAAACCCCATTGTATCACCAGGTGGGCCTGATCAAATTCATTGAAAAAGTGATCTAGACTACCCAGTGTGCGACATGTATCTAGACTGTTGATGGACGAGATACATCCCCACCGATTGAAAATTTTGAGCGTATCCGGAGCATCTCCCAGTCCAGATGCACTCAGGATGTTGTGCATTGGAGCAAGGCCCAGAGACTCCCGGTCATTTTGGATGGCAAAAGCACTGCCCAGTACATGGGCACCTGAGCCGCAGGTCTGACACCTCCAATTCATGGGCACCCAGTCCAGATGCACTCAGGATGTCGAACTGACCCATGACTGTTCTGCGCAGCAGCGTAATCGCACCCTGATCATGAATGTATACAACACATTTTTCTGGTTCAATACAGTCATGGTGCGGGTGCGTTGTATTCAGGGGAGGAAGATGGTAGGACCGCTCAGCAGTACTATTGTCCAGCAACCAATGTGAAGTGAATGACTACGGCAAATCGCCGGCGGCAGGTTTGGCTCAGCTTGTGCCGGCTTAGCCAGGCCCGCCCTGGTAGAGGCTAGCGCACACATAGTCATGACCACACACATGCGCATCGCTGCTGTCACATACGTTTGGCCCGGTTTGGGCATGAGGATGGACGGCTGACGTTCAGCAGTGAAGGATTAACTGAAAAAAAAAAAAAAAAAAAACCGGAAAACGAGTGAGTGACGCGGTTTGGGCATGAGGATGGATGGCTGACGTTCAGCAGTGAAGGATTAACTGGGAAAAAAAAAAAAAAAAAAAACAGGAAAGCGAGTGAGTGACGACAGGATTGATTTGTATAAAAGCTAAACATAAACACCAAAGCAGCATGGCCGTGTGGCCTAATGGATAAGGCGCTCGCCTCCGGAGCGGGAGATTCTGGGTTCGAGTCCCAGCATGGTCGGCTGATATTTGTGAGTTCTTTTGAATTGAAGCTGCAGTCGAGTGGTGAGTAGTGGTGGGTGTAGGGTGAAGGTGAATAATGTTGGGCATAGCGCTTTGGGGCTTTTGAAGCCACAGGAACAGCAGTTTCGTCAAAAAGGGCTTTTTTTTTTCTTTTTTCTTTTTCTCGAACGAAATTGGAACCGACTAAGTTGGCCCAATGCAGGTCAAAAGTTTTAGCTTTTGAGGGTACGGCTTTCTTAAAATGCCACCCCCCCTGGATGTATCTGGATTTAGCTGGAGTCCAGGGGGTTCAACATTTCCCCCCTGGACGTATCTGGACTTAGCTGGAGTCCGCAGGTACAGCGTTTTAACACGTGATGCTCCCCACGATTAGATTGGAGCAATTGAAAAAAAAAAAAAAAGGCTACAACAGCAGGT